GAGGTTGCAGTGAGCTCAGATCGTGGCACTGCACTCCAGCCTGGCAACAAAGTGAGACTTCGTCTCAAAAAACCCCAAACATATATATATATACACATGTATATATACACACACATATATATACGTAAAAATATGTGTGTGTGTGTGTATATATGTGTATATATATGTATATATATATGACCCACTATGATTGCTTACACTCAGGGCACATAGCACGGGAGGGAGGCCTGTCCAGGTGGCCCTGGAGTGCTGCAGGCCAGGACCTGTGGGTGGGCAAGCCTCTGGCTCCTGGGACCAGGGGGGCTGCCCTCTCCTGCTCTTCTCTGCACCCCCACAGGTTGCTGATCTCTCCCCAATCCCTGTGGTGCTGTACAGTGTCCCAGCCAACACAGGGCTGGACCTGCCTGTGGACGCGGTGGTCACACTCTCCCAGCATCCGAATATTTTGGGCATGAAGGACAGTGGTGGTGACGTGAGTGGCAGCAGCTCTGGGGCTGGGGTCCTCTCCTCCTTCTCTGGGTCCCAGCACTTTTGCTCCTGAGGGCAGCTCTGAGATCTGTTTCTGTCCTTGGCTTCTGTTTGAGTTCTCTCTGTTGTGCGGGCTCTCTGGGGCTTTCTTGAGGGCATCTCTTTGGGCACTGGGCTTTCATTCCACCACACTTGCCCAGCCTTCATACAGGATGAGGCTCTGGGCACAGCTCTCACGCCACATTTTCTATTGCAGGTGACCAGGATTGGGCTGATTGTTCACAAGACCAGGAAGCAGGATTTCCAGGTGTTGGCTGGATCGGCTGGCTTCCTGATGGCCAGCTATGCCTTGGGTAGGCCACCTGCTGCTCTCAAACTTCATGGGTGACCAAGAGACACCCAGGCAGCTGGGTCCGCTGGGAGAGACTGTGAGGGCTGGGGCTGCATCTGCAGACGGGTTTGCCAGCCTGCCTGCTCTGAAAACTCAGAAACCTGGCCACGCCGCTTGCCTGTCTGAATACTGGGTGATGTGAGTAACACCGAGTGGAGAAGGATGGCCGTGTACGATCCCTGGCCTGTAGTAGGGATGCTGGCAGTTTGTTCTGAGTCCTGAGCTCCATGATTAGATGACAAACTTAGTTGCTCTAATCCCACCTTGTAAATCATTCTCTGAGGGCAGAGTGCCTTGGGGCGCTCCTCTGTAGTTCAGGAGTCCATTTTCCTCTCCCCAGTCCCAGGCCAGAAAGAATTGTCAGATCTACAGAGTTGGGCCAGCAGTCTTCAGTTGCCTAATCAGATTCTGTTTCAATCCAGGATCCCTGGGAGTGTCACTTAGATCAATTGTTCTTGACTGTTTGGGGTCAGGGTCCTTGGGTTCGGATTAGATTTGAGCCCTGGAGGGGAGGGAGAAGAAGGGAAGCCATTCCTTCCAGCGGAAGCCCCAGTGAGTGGAGATTTGAGTGACTTTTCCAGCACTGCAGGGGAGAGCGCTGGTTCTAATTCCGTCTGGTCCCTCCAGACTTTGGCTGGTTGTCTAGGTCCTTGTATATCTCCCCCTGCCATGTCATGGTCTCTACAGTGCAGGGAAAGAAGAAGGGATCAATTTCTGCCTCACTCTGAGAGTGGGGTAGATTAAAGAAGAAAAGCACAGGTGCTGGAGGCTGGGTGATCTTAGCTGGAATTTCAGCTCTGCAATGTACTCACTGAGTAATGCTGGGCAAGGCATTCATGTCGCTGGGCCTGAGTTTCTTTTTCTTTTTTAAAAATTATTGTGACTCAAAGTTCTGCTGAATGGGCCTGAGTTTCCACTCTGTAATAGTAGGTATTCCACAAACAACAGCTCTATTTGCTCATTCTAAATTGCATACTCTCTCTTGGGTCTTGAGGCCACGGTACCTAGGGTTCCATTCCTATCTAGCCTTAGAAGCACACTCACAGGCTTGCAGAAGTGGCGGGGCTTCCACAGCCAAACCCATTTTTATTGCCCTGATGAGCACAAAGAGAACTAGAGAGGGTCTTGTTCAGGCTCATGCGGACAATGGGAAGACATGCCTGGTGACCTGACTGTCCGGAGCTCTTTCCAGCCCACTGCTGTCTCTGGTTACATCCACTAGGGGGAATAAGATTTCGAAAGAGCAAAGGCTTCCCATCCATCCTACCCTCTCACAGGACTGATGAGTCAGGGGGCTATCGGAGGTGTCAACTGGCCGATGGGATTTTATTCCCGGAGGGGTGCAGGGAAGGAACTGTCCTCGAGTTCGCTTTCAGGCTCTGTTCCCTGCCCCTCACAGATCAGCCCTGAGCAGCACTCAGCCTGCGGGATTCTATTTTAAATATGCAGGCAGCTCTTCTCTTTAGAAATGTATACTCTGAACTCACAGAGCATGCCTTCGATGTGGCCAGCCAAGTGACATAGAAATCTGCATCTAATGTCACTGGGCTGAAGAGGTGCTGGGACCAGGGCTTTGGGTGCTCTGTGAGGAGAGGCTCTGGCTGACGTTCTGCGTCTTACTTCGTGCAGGAGCTGTGGGGGGCGTGTGTGCCCTGGCCAATGTCCTGGGGGCTCAGGTGTGCCAGCTGGAGCGACTGTGCCTCACAGGGCAATGGGAAGACGCCCAGAAACTGCAGCACCGCCTCATCGAGCCAAACACGGCGGTGAGCCAGTGGCAGTGGGGGCGTGGCGTGGGTGGGGGTGGTCTGTGTTCTCTTGGAACAGGACCCAGGACTGGCACCAGGCCCCACTCAGTCTCCTCCTTTCAGAAAATCCTTTCAGAGAACACCCCCGTGTGGGAACTCCTTGTGCCTTCCAGAGAATCCTGACTTCAAAGTCAAGCTCTATTGATTGTGAAACTTAAATGTGCATTAGGATTCCCTTAGGGGTGAATTAAAGTTCCAACTTTTGGGCCCAAAAATATGCATTGAAACAAACATTCTGTGTGATTGTGACAGAGTAACCCTAGAACTACACTTAGAGATGGCTGGAAAGAAAGAGCGTAAACCAGGGGCCTCTAAATCCGCCCTATTGGGTCTTGAAAAAATAGACATGATTACTGGGGCTAGCAAAGGAGTTAGGAGGCAGGAGAGGGCTGTCTTCAAATAATCTGTCCTGTAGTCAGACTGTGTGCCTCAATTCTTTGTTGGGCAAGCAAAGGAGAACTTCAGAGAAAACTCTCGACAAGTTCAGGGTCATTCTGAGGTCTGAAGCAACAGAAAAATGTGTGCCCCTGTATTCAAGTTTTAATGTACATTATATTATTGTATTATTATTTTTTTCTTTCTTTCCTTTTTTTTTTTTGAGGCAGTCTTGCTCTTTTGCCCAGGCTGGAATGCAGTGATCTTCTCAGCTCACTGCAACCTCTGTCTCCCAGGTTCAAGCAATTCTTGTGCCTCACTCTCCTGAGTAACAGAGATTACATGTGTGCACCACCATGCCCAGCTAATTTTTGTTTTTTAGTAGAGATGGGGTTTCACCACGTTGGCCAGGCTGGTCTCAAACTCCTGGCCTCAAGTGATCCGCCCACCTCAACCTCCCAAAGTGCTGGGATTACAGGCATGAGCCACAGTGCCGGCTTTTTATTTTTTCTTTTCTTTTTGAGAGAGTCTTGCTCTGTCGCCCAGGCTGGAGTGCAGTGCCGTCATCTCGGCTCACTGCAATCTCTGCCTCCCGGGTTCAAGCAATTCTCCTTTCTCAGCCTCCCTAGTAGCTGGGATTATAGGCGCATGCCACCATATTTGGCTAATTTTTTTGTATTTTTAGTAGAGATGGGGTTTCACCATGTTGACCGAACCTGGTCTTAAACTCCTGACCACAAGTGATCCTTCTGCCTCCTGCCTCCTGCCTCCTGCCTTGGCCTCCCAATCTTTTTTATTTTTATTTTTTATTTTTGAGACAAGGGTTGTTCCCTGTCATCCAGGTTAGACTACTGTGGTGCAAGGACAGCTCACTGCAGCCTCAAGGCCCTGGGGTTAAGCAATCTTTTTATTTTTAGTTTAGTTTATTTTTTTGTAAAGATGGGGGTCTCATTATGTTACCCAGGCTGGTATTTATCTCCTGGGCTCAAGAGGTCCTCTTACCTCAGCCTCCCAAAATGCTGAGATTACAGGCATGAGCCACCATGCCTGGCCTACTGTATATTTTATATTAAACTTTTTATTTTATTTTATTTTGTTTATTTTGAGATGGAGTTTCACTCTATTGCCCAGGCTGGAGTACAGTGATCTCAGCTCACTGCAACCTCCACCTCCCGGGTTCAAGCAATTCTCCTGCCTCAGCCTCCCAAGTAACTGGGATTACAGGTGCCTGCCACCACGCCTGGCTAATTTTTGTGTTTTTAGTGGAGACAGGTTTCACCATGTTGGCCAGGCTGGTCTCACACTCCTGATCTCAGGAGATCCACCTGCTTCGGCCTCCCAAAGTGCTGAGATTACAGGCGTGAGCCACCACACTTTGGTCAAACTTTTTATTTTTAGATAATTATAGATTCTCATGCAACTTTAAGAAATAATACAGGCCAGGCGGCGTGGCTCACGCCTGTAATACCAGCACTTTGGGAACCCGAGGTGGGCAGATCATGAGGTCAGGAGATCAAGACCATCCTGGCTAACACGGTGAAATCCAATCTCTACTAAAAATACAAAAAATTAGCCGGACTTGGTGGCATGCACCTGTAATCTCAGTTACTTGGGAGGCTGAGGCAGGAGAATCGCTTGAACCCAGGAGGCAGAGGTTGCTGTGAGCCAACATCATACCAGTGCACTCCAGCCTGGGCGATAGAGTGGCTCTGTCTCAAAAACGAACAAACAAAATAAATAATACAAAGGGATCCCATGTACCCATGATCCAGTTTTCCCCAATGGTAACATCTTACAAAACTGTAGAATAATTTTACAGTCTGGATATTGACCTTGACACAGTCAAGACACAGATTATTTCTGTCCCTACAAGGATCCCTCATGTCATCCTCTTATAGCCACACCTACTCATATCTGCCTTCAACAGCTCCTTAACCTCTGGCAACCACACATACATTCACCATTTTATGGTTTTGTCAGTTCAAGACTCTACTATATAAAATCATGTAGTATATAACTTTTGGGGATTGGCTTTTTTCCACTCAGCATAATTCTCTAGATATTCATCCAGGTTGTTTGTTGCATGTATCAGTAGTTAATTCCTTTTTATTTCTGAGTTCTATACCATGATATGGCTGTACCACAGCATGTTTATTTATTTATTATTTGTTTATTTATTGAGACAGGGTCTTGCTCTGTTTCCCAGGATGAGTGCAGTGGCAAGATCGTGGCTCACTGTGGTCTTGACCTTCCAGTTCAAGCGATCCTCCCAGCTCATCCTCCCAAGTAGCTGGGATGACAGGTGCACACCACCACGCCCAGCTAATTCTTTTTCCTTTTAGTAGAGACAAGGTCTCGCTAGGTTGCCAAGGCTGGTATCAAACTCCTGGTCTCAAGCTATCTTCCCTCAGCCTCCCAAAGTGCTGGGATTATAGGCATGAGCCCCCATGGCTGGTCCCCCAAAGCATGTTTAGTCATTCACCAGTTGAAAAACAGCTGGGTTATTTCCATTTTTGGTTATTAAAAGCATTCATGGGCTGGGTGCAGTGGCTTATGCCTATAATCCCAGCACTTTGAGAGGCCGAAGTGGGCAGACCACCTGAAGTTGGGAGTTTGAGACCAACCTGGCCAACATGGTGAAACTCATCTCTGCTAAAAATACAAAAATTAGCTGGGCGTGGTGGTGGGCGCCTGTAATGCCAGCTACTGAGGAGGCTGAGACAGGAGAATCACTTGAACCCAGGAGGCGGAGGTTGCAGTGAGCTCAGATCGTGGCACTGCACTCCAGCCTGGGTGACAGAGTGAGCCTCTGTCTCAATAAATAAATAAGTAAATAAATAAATAAATGCTGCATGAACATTCATGAACAGGTTTTCATGTGTCCGTAAGTTTTCATTTTTCTGGGATCAATACATAGCAGCACAAATGGTGGGTCATATGGTAATCACATTTCCTTTTCTAAGAAACTGCTGGCTGGGTGCGGTGGCTCACACCTGTAATCCCATCATTCTGGGAGTCTGAGGCGGTGGACTGCTTGATCCCAGGAATTCAAGACCAGCCTGGGCAACATGGGGAGACTCTGTCTCTACAAAAAATACAGAAAATTAGCCAGGTGTGGTGGCATGCACCTGTGACCCATGACTCAGGAGGCTGAGGCAGAAGGGAAGATCCCTTGAATCTGGGAGGTTGAGGCTGCGGTGAGCTGTGATATTGCCACTGAACTCCAGCCTGGGCTACAGAGACCCTGTCTGAAACAAAACAAAACAAAAAACCCAGAAACAAACCTGCCAAACTTTCCCAGAGTGGCTGTGCTATTTTAAATTTACACTGAGGTAAATGTATGAGTGATCCAGTTTTTCTGCAGCTTTGCCAGCATTTGGCGTTGTGACTATTTTTTATTTTAGCCATTCTGATAGATGTGTAGTACCGTCTCATTGTGGTTTTAATTTGCATTTCTCTGATGGCTAATGGTATTGAACATTTTTTTCATGTATTTATTTGCCATCTGTATATCTTTTCAGTCAAATATCTTTATTTCTTACTCATTTTAAAATTGGACTGTTCTTTTGACTGCTGAGTTTTAAAGTTCTTTTTTTATCTTTATTTTTTTTTAGTAGAGATGGGGTTTCACCACATTGGCCAGGATGGCCTGAATCTCCTGACCTCATGATCTGCCCGCCTCAGCTTCCCAAAGTGCTGGAATTACAGGCATGAGCCACTGTGCCTGGCCTTTTTTTTTTTTTTTTTTTTTTGAGACTGAGTCTTGCTCTGTCGACAAGGCTAGAGTGCAGTGGTGCGATCTCAGCTCACTGCAACCTCTGCCTCCTGGGTTCGAGCAATTATTCTGCCTCAGTGTCCTGAGTATCTGGGAATACAGGTGCACGCCACCACGCTCGGCTAATTTTTGTATTTTTAGCAGCGGTATGTTTCACAATGTTGGCCTCAACCTGCCAAAATGCTGGGACTACAAGTGTGAGCTACTGAGCCCAGCTAAAGTTCTTTATAGCTTCTAAATACTAGTCCCCTGTCAGATATGTGGCTTGTAAATATTTTCTCCCAGTCTGCAGCTTGTCTTTTTATTGCCTTAACAGGTCTTTTGCCGAGCAAGTTTTATATTTTGATGAAGTCCAATTTATCAACATTTTCTTTTATGGATCATGCTTTTGGTGTCAAGTCTAATAACTCTTAAAGAGTTCTTAGAAGATAATAAGGATTTCCTCTTATTTCTTTTTTCCTATAAGTTTTATAGTTTTATGTTTTACAAGTCTGTGACCCATTTTGAGTTAATTTTTGTATAAAGTGTGAGACTTAGGTCGAGGTTTTGTTTGTTTTTTCCCTAATGGATATCTACTTGCTGCAGCATCATTTGCTGAAAAGGCCGTCTTTGCTCCATTGAACTGCTGGTACACCTTTGTCAAAAATCAGTGGGGCATATTTATGTGGGTCATTTCTGGGTTCTCTGTTCTTTCCATTCATCTATGTCTATCTCTCTGCAATACCACACAGACTTGATTGCTGTAGCTAAGTCTTAAAATCAGGTAGACTGATTCCTCCCACTTTGTTCTTTTTTTTGTCCCCTTCAA